CACACTTTTCCCTTCCACATAACTTTCTATTAATGTGCTTTGATACAGCACTTTGAGAACATCCAACTTCTTCTGCAATTACCTTTTGAGGTTTTCCCTCCTTATGGAGAGTGTCAATGATGGTTTTCTGCACAACTGTCAGGTCAGCAGTCTTTCCCATGATTGTGATTCCTACTGAACCAGACTGAGAGACCATTTAAAGGCTCAGGAACCCTTTGCAGGTGTTATGGCTTAATTAGCTGATTAGAGTGGGACACTTTGAGCCGAGAATATTGCACCTTTTCACAATATTCTCATTTTCTGAGATTGTGGATTTGGGGTTTTCATGAGCTGTAAGCAATAATCATTACAATGATGACAAATCACGGCTTGAACTATCTTGCTTTGCATGTAATGAGTCTATCTCATATATTAGTTTCACCTGTTAAGTTGCATTACTGAAATAAATGAACTTTTGTACGATATTCTAATTTTTCGAGTTTCACCTGGTCTACCAAAACCAAAGAACTTAGTTTACAAATGTCAACTTTCTGCTTCAAGCTCCTACATCTCCTCTAATTAGTAAACAAGCCATGCGTTATGCTTTTTCATTGTTTAAAAAAATATCTAAAAGTTTAATTTTATGAATCATACATTTGAGAGACAGTAGGCTTTGGACTTGCTCCCATCTTTTTTGAATTGCAGATTATTCTCAGTATTGTTAATCCTGGGATGGGTCTAAACCCCTATCATTTTTTTCAGCTCAGCTTGGGAAGCTTTACATTCAGTGCACCCCCTGTAGACAAGAAAGGATCTCAGAGGAATTCACCCCAAAGTAAGGAAAATCCCTCTTGGACAGTTGTTACCGCAAAAAGTCTCCCCATTGTATCACTTCAACTCTATTGTTGTTCTGGAGACAACTTAAAGCGGAGCTCCACCCAAAAGAGGAAGTTCTGCTTTAAGGACTGCTCCCCCGCTCCCCATTAAGGGGTGGCTCCTTTATGGGGCGGGTACCCGAATTTGACAGGTACCTGCTTCCAGTTCCGGTCCGATCACCTAGGCAACCGGAAGAGGAAGGTGTCCTCCCTCCCTGTATTCTTTTGGGACACGTGACAGGTCCCAGAAAACTACAGGACCATTCATGAAGCGCAGCGCTACTCACACATGCACAGTGGGCACCCGGCTGTGAAGCCGCAAGCTGTCACAGCCGGGTGCCCACACTGAAGATGCTGGCCTGCTGGAATACAGGACGGCCAGTGAAACAAGCTGCGGGGGACACATCATGGGACCGAGGGACAGGTAAGTGGCTGTTTTTTAAAAATCAGCAGCTACAGTTTTTGTAGCTGCTGACTTTTATTTTTTGATAGGGTGAGTGGAACTTGGCTTTAAGTTGTTGGATTTTCCTTGACAATAGTCACCAGGACAAATAAAGAGGGTGGATCTCTGCAGTGGGGAGACAGCAATAAAAATCTAACAAGGGGTTTAAAGCAGAAGTCCAGTTTAAAGGATTTACCTTATCAAGGCAGATTGTGAGGGGAATCTTGTCCTGGATTTGTCCTGGTTTTTCAATCACTCCTTCTTTATGTAGCCCATAAACCTATACTTGTATGTCCCTCCCCTCACACACAAAAATGCCTGCAATGAAGCTTCCAGCTGTGCAACAAGCAGAGTCCCGCTGCAATTTCCATTCTCACAACCTGCCATGTACATGGGTGGTGTGGCCTGCAGGAGAGGGATCCCTGTGAGTTGGGAGAAAAATGGACTGGGGAATTCTGAGTAAGTGGCATGGCTGGGGACTACTCCTTGGGGTGCGGCTGTGCTCTTTTGTGGAGAAAAAAAGAGTTGTGAGAAGTTCACACCAGAGGTGGACTGACCATTTGGAAACACGGGGTCAGTAGGGGGCCCCATGAGATGCCCCTGGTACCTTTTTCATGGGCTTTTTTGAGTTTCGGCAAGGACACAGGGACCCCATGATCCCCTATTGCCCGGGGGCCCATTAGTTGTCAGTCCGCCCCTGGTTCACGCTTAATCGTTTTACTCTGGAAGAGATTAACTGAACACCTGAATATTCCTTTAGAGAAATAGACTTTGTTATCCCAGTGATGGAGAATTGTTTGTTTATTTTCTTTGAAAAGTAAAGGGTTTTTTTCTACCATATGGACATTCTCACACACGAATGGACAACATATTCTAAATGCTCTGCAAAGGATTGGAGTACAGCTGGAGGAATTGGATTCTGTTGGGACAGCTTGTGTAGGCCTAGCAGGTAGCCGCTCTGTGTCTGTGATAAAAAATACAAGTGTACAATCCAAACGCACGCGTTCCTGCGTTAAAAATGGCTGTGTGTATAAGTGGGTGCTGCAGCGACCGTCGGCTGGAACCGAACAAAGTCAGCAAGGAAAAATGTCACCAGCACACCGAGGATCACCAATATGGGACATGTGACATGCCTGATGAAGGGGTCCTGCGAGACTCCGAAATGTTGCCTTGCTGTAACTATGTGATTGTTCATTAAAACCTTTGGACCCATATTGGTAATCTTCGCTGTGATGAAAAATAGGCGTAGGTTGGATTGTACATACGTGGGCTTCACCTACTTGGACTGGAACCTAGAGTTCCTATCTTGAGAGACTTGGGGTACCAGAAAAGACCTACCTCTATGTAGCACTACCCTCATGAGGGCCGCTGTGTTTTTAGGTCACCCGAAGTTTCACACTTCCAGGCAACTAGCAACGCATTAAATTCAAACTACTAACATTGACATACAAAGCCATTCATGTTCTGTCCCCCTTTGTAATGTACAGCGCTGAGCAAACTATTGGCGCTTTATAAATACTGTATAATAATAATAATTCTGCCCCAAACTACCTCACTGACCTGATACCCAAATACCACCCAACCCGTACTCTTCACTCCTCACAAGACCTCCTATTTTCTAGCTCCTTGGTCTCCTCCTCCCACGCCCGACTGCAGGACTTCCTCCATCCTCTGGAACTCACTACCCCAATCCATCAGACTGTCACCTACCCTCCTCACCTTTAGGCGCACCCTGAAAATCCATCCTCCTGGTAGGGGAAACAACTTGGATGAGGTAATAGGGTGCAGAGCCAGGAGTGGCACGAGTGCCGGGTGGATCTGGAGCTGGCGGCAGGTAGCTGGAGACCCAGGACCCAGGAGATCCGGATGCAGGCCAGGTGCGGATGCAGGAATGTAGGTGCAGCAGCAGGCAGGTATGGCGGCAATCAGGATGCAGACTGGGACTGGACACCGGAGCGTGGATGCAGCAGCAGGCAGGTATGGCGGTGACCAGGATGCAGGCCAGGTGCAGGACCGTGGGTGCAGCGGCAGGTAAGTATGGCAGCCGTCAGGATACAAGCCAGGTGCAGGTACAGGTAAGTAGATGCAGCAGAGTCAGACAAGCCGGGTCAGTATCAAGCGGACAGATAAAGTACAAGGGAGCAGACAAGCGGATGGTCAGGGATAGCCGAGGTCGGTGCAGGCAGAGTTCTTTCTTAGTCAGGCAAATCAGATTACAGGCAACAGGATCAGGTAATATGTGCAGGAACGTTGTAGACCAGAAGGCATTCATTTTCCTGTTCTGCAGGGTTAAATAGCCCGCCTGGCGTGACGTGTACGCTTACCGGGCATGCGTGAGTTTCCGCGCTACTGCGCATGCGTGCCCACACACTCCCGTCTGCGCACTTGCACAGCCACATCCCGAGGGGATCCGTCGCTGTCGCACGGCGATAGGATCCCTGACACCGTCAGTCTTTGTGGATAAGTAGCAACAGCCCCTTATGGGCTAGGGACTCTCAGCACCTCTAAAAGTTAGCTTAGCTTTTTGTAAACTACATACAGAGATGTCCCCTCTCCCCTGTAGAACTGCTCGCAGCTCCACAGCCTGCAGATACTATCAGCCCTCCTGGCTACTCTGAAGCTCTCCCAGGACATGGATAAAGGGTTAAGTAGAGTCCTGTCCTTTGAAAGCTTGCTACATGTGGCAGTCTCTCCCCTTGTAAATCCCTGTGTATCCGGATGTACTCACTCTGTCCTCCTTGCTCCCACTGCTCCCAGGCCTTGATCCTGTTCATACTGTGATGCTGAATGGACCCTCCTGAGCCAGCCTGAGCCCAGCCTTGAGGCTAGCCCCCCTCTAGCCTAGGGGACTCCTCCCAGGCCACCAACAGTCTCCTCAGCACTCTATCTTCCACCCGACTCCCCTGCCAGTCTGGCTATCCCATATTTATGGGTTGGTCTCACTACTCTACCAGGGCCGCCAAACCTTGGATTGGTTAGATACTCATAGACATGCAGATTAGGTCTCCACCCCTTCTGCCCACTGGCTTCTGGAAGGTTCAATGGTCCTCCATAACCAGGTGGAAGTGATAGAGTCTCAACCTGTTAAGCCATCCAGCTTGATCTGCAGTAATGCAACTTCATAGACTGACACAGTTACCATGAGTCATTCACAATAGATTTACCTACACTACACTAGTAGCACACAAGAGGGTTCTACATGTATGCTGCCAAGGCTTGTCTTGGGGGTTGGAACCTCTCCCGTTGTTACTTTGTCTGAAGTCCTGGGTTTCAAGTACTGCTTTTGGACTACTTGTTACTGAAGCTAAGCTGAAATACTCCTAAACATTGCAATCTATATCCTCAGCTGTACATGACATGCTCCTGACCACTGCATGGGTACTTGGGCATGCAGGAGGGGCTCTGATACTGCCTATGATGGCAGCAGGGCCCTGTTTCACTTGTCAGCACCCTCCCCCAGGTAGCGGAATGCCAAGGCCAGCTTGCTGAAACCCTGGTAGTTACACCACTGCCCAACATTCTAATTTAGGGGGGCAAGGAATAACCTGGAGGGCTCCCCTGCAGTGAGGTCGCTGTATATGACATACTCCTGACCACTGCACTCTGTTCCCTCATCTGTATATAACATGCTCCTGATCACTGCATTCATAATCCTGACCAGGGGCGGACTGACAACTCATGGGGACCCCGGGCAATAGGGGATCATGGGGCCCCTGTGTCCTTGCCCAAACTCAAAAAAGCCTATGAAAAAGGTACCAGGGGCATCTCATGGGGCCCCCTACTGACCCCGGGTTCTCAGGCAGTGCCCGAGTTTCCAAAAAATTAGTCTGCCCCTGATCCTGACTGCCATACTCAGTACACTGGACTGTATAGGGCATAATTCTGACCACTGCACTCTTTACACTGGACTGTATATGACATGCTCCTGGCCACTGCACTCTGTATGGCAGACTGTATATGAAATACTTCTGATCACTGCACTCTAAGTACATTATATACACCTTACCACCACACTCACATTATAGCTGGTTGCTCAGTAGTGAATATAATAAAGGCATTCTTCTTAGAGGTAAATTGTGTACAGAAAAGCATATATAACAGAAGAGGTTTTTTTTTTTTTTTTTTACAAATGATTGTGCTGATGTTATGTGTCTGTTAGGCTTGTTCACACTTGGCGAGGAGGTAGAGCTTGTAGATCAAAGAAGATCGAGGGAGCTGCAGGAGCGAGTGAAGAGAGAGGCCAGAGAAGGAAGACAGCTGACAGGTAAGTACAAATTTTGCTGCTGCAGCCAGGTATGCAGGCTGTAGATGGGAGAGGGAGAGAGCGAGCCCAGGCTGAAGCAGGAGTCAGCAAGGTAAGTATCATTGGTGTCAGTGGGAGGGATAGTGCCCCATCATTTGTGTCACTAATACCAACGATGGGGCACTATTCCTCCCCCCACTGACACCAATGATGGGGCACTATTCCTCCCCCCACTGACACCAATGATGGGACACTATTCCACCCCCCACTGACACCAATCATGGAGCACTATTCCACCCCCCACTGACACCAATCATGGGATACTATTCCTCCCCCCCCCACTGACACCAACGATGGGGAACTTTTCCTCCCCCCCACTGACACCAACGATGGGGCACTATTCCTCCACCCCCCCACTGACACCAATGATGGGATACTATTCCTCCCACTGACACCAATGTTGGGACACTATTCCTCCCACTGACACCAATGATGGGACACTATTCCTCCCACTGACACCAAAGATGGGGCACTATTCCACTGACACCAATAATGGGGTGCTATTCCCCCCACTGATACTAATGATGGGGCACTATTCCTGCCACTGATACCAATGATGGGGCGCTATTCCTCCCACTGACACCAATGATGGGGCGCTATTCCTCCCACTGACACCAATGATGGGGCGCTATTCCTCCCACTGACACCAATGATGGGGCACTATTCCTCCCACTGATACCAATGATGGGGCACTAATCCTTCCACTGACACCAATGATGGGGCACTATTCCTCCCACTGATACCAATGATGGGGCACTATTCCTCCCACTGACACCAATGATGGGGCACTATTCCTCCCACTGACACCAATGATGGGGCACTATTCCTCCCACTGATACCAATGATGGGGCACTATTCCTCCCACTGATACCAATGATGGGGCACTATTCCTCCCACTGACACCAATGATGAGGCACGATTCTTCCCACTGGTGTTCCCACCCTCGGCTTATACTCGAGTCAATAGTTTTTCTCAGTTTTTTGTGGTAAAATTAGGTACCTCGGCTTATATTCGGGTCGGCTTATACTCGAGTATATACGGTATATATATATATATATATATATACACACACACACAGTATAGTTATAATGTATTGTCGTTTAGAACGCATTCACACCTGAGCAATGCAGAATTGTTGGAAGAATTACACAATACTTGCCGCAATTCCAAATTGTGCTAAAATTGTATTAAAATACGCAGTGCGCTTTTGGGTGCCATTCATTGTTAATGGCACCCCAAATGCTGTGAGCAGACATGCATATTGCCGCACATTTTGTCATTTGACAAATACTCTATCAACGCACCAAAATGCACATTAAAAAAACCCACATCACAATGCATGTTAAAAAAATACAGCATGTTAAAAAGCGGCAAAATGAATGTAAACAATACTAAAATGTGCAATAAAAAGGAGTAAAAATACACATTTAAAGACTGTGCCAAAATGTGTGTTAAAAATACCAGTGGTCAGTGCTTTTTAATTTCATGTAATGGTCTTTTTAACTTTGGTTTCACTGTTTAAACTCAGGTGATCTGTAATCACACAATTATTCAGGAGATCACTTGCAGCCTTCTCCCCCTCCACATAGATCTCAGCTGTTCTCAGTGGAAAAACTTCTCTCTTCTCCTTTTGAGAACAAATGTTCTCTGCTTCATAAACAGGAGGACAGAGGAGAAGATTTTCCCCAGAGAACTGAAAGGAGATAAATTATCTCTGCTTACGCCATAGTTGGGAGAAATTAATTGATATATATTATCTTGTACATAGTGAGTAAGCTCATGTTTCAAGTCCCCGTGCAATTTTCCCACATCCTTAATTTGCTGTGGTCTACCATGCTGCCCACCATCTGATAGTTCTACTATGCTGCCCACCATCTGATTGTTCTCTGGATGCCCAAGGTTTAATCCTTCCCAGGAAAAAAATTGCTTTTGGTCCCAGATGTTGGGAGACACCAGAAGCAAAGTTATTCGAGAATCTGAGTTAGTATCAGGATTGAGCTGGGCCATGAATACTAGAAGAGGTGAGGTCAGCAAGGGATGAAGAGCTGAATTAGACCCAAGCTTGGTCAGTGCAGGTTTGGTGTGGGCTTGAGTATCTCACAAGCACCTCAGTGCAGTTTTGTATGTATGCGGTCACATTTCCAGGCACAGCCATGGTGTAGTGTTGGACCTTCTCTTGCACATGACATGAAAAGATCTTCTGCAACAAGTTCATACAAATATGCCTGAACCAGGGGCAGACTGACAACTCATGGGGCCTACGGGCAATAAGGGATCATGGGGCCCCTGTGTCCTTGCCCAAACTCAAAAAAGCCTATGAAAAAGGCACCAGGGGCATCTCATGGTGCCCCCTACTGACCCCAGGCCTTCGGGCAGTGCCCGAGTTTCCAAATGGTCAGTCCGCCCTTGGCCAGAACTCAAGTCCTTCTGTTGATGCTGAATCCTTGATAGTGGAATCCATTTTTAATGACTCTTCTGACATCTTTCCTATCGTTTATAGAGAGGAGAACCTCTCTTTCATACATGGTGCAGATGATTAAAGCCACCTGAGATCCGCTTTTCTTCACCACACTAAATTGATTTTGATCATCCCAACACTCTTTTTACATTATTCTGCTCATCACTGAGACCACTTCTGAGTGTTTGAATTTCCCTATCGCATGAAAGTCCTGGAATCCATTTTATGTCTCTTTAGCGGTGAGGAACAGAGGGGAAATATGACATTTTATTAGTTAATGATTCTCGATATTTGTATATTAGGAGGGGGGAAACACACAGCTGTTGTCAAGATGCTTGAACCGCTATTTAGCTAACACGTGCTTCTTGTTAATGTTTTAACTGTACTGTGTATATTAATGACACAGATTAATGGGAATTTAGCATTCTGTGACATAGATTTTATCCCCGTCCAGAAAAGGTGTAAATAAGGATCATGGGGTCCCATAACAAATGTATGATGGGTGCCCCCGGTGAGCTCTCTACTGTCATTGAACTTAAAGTATGTGTGAATCAAGGACAGATAGCAGGAGAGCTGTCAGCATAGTCAGTTCATTGCTGGAGACCAGAGTTGTAGAAATAAGTTGTCAAGGAAGAGATGAGTATCAGTGCAGGGAATAGACGTTTGACAATATTCATTAGACTCCAAAGACATGCTGGTAGATGAATGATAGATGAATGGGCTGCTGTCTAAATTGGCCCTAGTATGTGTATGTATGAATGTGAGTTAGGGACCTTAGATCGTATGCCCCTTGAAGGTTAGGGACTGATGCAAATGTAATATATATATATATATTTATATATTACAGGTACTTATAGCACCATCAATTTACACAGTGCTTTTTATATATAATAATATATATATATATATATATGTATGTTATAGAAAGAACTGTGTAAATTGACGGCGCTATATAAGTACCTGTAACATATAAATAAATAAAATGAAGCTACTTCTCTTTAGTGGCTAACGCATGTCCATTAAAACAACACACCAGGATGCCAAGGTCTGAATGGGCCCTAATACAGACTTCGTTAACCACTCGAGCTCCAGAAGGTTTTACCCCCCTTCATGACCAGGCCACTTTTTGCTATTTGGCACTGGGCTACTTTAGTAATGGTAATTGTGCGTTCATGCAATGCTGTACCCAAATAAAATTTTTATATTTTTTTTTCACACAAATAGAGCGTTCTTTTGGTGAAAAAAAGACCAAAAATTGTGAAAAAAATAATATTTTTTACTTTCTGCTATAAAACATATCCAATAAAAAAAAATCAAAATTGTTCATACATTTAGCCCAAAATGTATCCTGCTATATGTCTTTGGTAGAAAAACCTCAATAAGTGTACAGTTGCAAGAAAAAGTATGTGAACCCCTTGGGATTACATGGAGTTTTGCATGAATTGGGCACAGAATACGCCTTCTGGAGTGGCCCAGTCAGAGTCCTGACCTCAACCCGATTGAAATGCTGTCGCATGACCTTAAGAGAGCGATTCACACCAGACATCCCAAGAATATTGCTACACTGAAACAGTTTTGTGAAGAGGAGTGGTCCAAAATGACTCCAGATCGTTGTGCAGGTCTGATCTGCAACTACAGGAAAAGTGTGGTTGAGGTTATTGCTACCAAAGGAGGGTCAACCAGTTATTAAGTCCAAAGGTTCACATACTTTTTCCTCCCTGCACTGTGAATGTTTACATGTTATGTGCAATTAAACCATGGCAACATCTAATGTTTGTGTAGTTTTATGTTCAGCAGACTGTGTTCTTCTATTGTGACTTAGATGACGTTCAGAGCACATTTTATACCCAATTCATGAAAATTCCACGTAATCCCAAGGGGTTCACATACTTTTTCTTGCAACTGTATATTGATTGGTTTGCATGAAAGTTATAGCATCTACAAACGATGGTATATATACTGTAATTTTTTTTTATACTAGTATTGGCAGTGATCAGCGACTTATAGTGGCGAACAATCTGACACTGATGCTGACGGGAACTGACTAACTGCCAATGACATCACCAGTAACACTAACACAGTGATCAGTGATAATACTATACACTGTCATTGTACAAATGACATTGGCTGGGAAGGGGTTAACATCTTGGGTAATCAAAGGGTTAAATGTGTGCCTACCAAATGTTAATGTGTGCTGTTTTTTTAATAAATATCTCTTTGTTCTCCCTGCTTTACAGGGAGAAGAAACTGAGAGATCGTTTCCTCTGTACGGAACCCTGTGTTGATTGTCAACACAGGGCCTGGGCTGTAACTGGACTTAGCCGGTCAACAGGTCCCAGCCATGAATCATTGGCCAGGACCTGCTGACAAACTTCCGCTGTGTACAAGCACAGTGGGAGGGACATGCGTCTTGTTCCTGGAAACAGGCAGCGACCTACATGTACATTGCTGTGCCTGTAGGTCAGGTATGTGCCTGACCTACAGGTATGTCGCTGTGCCCAGCAATACAATGCAGGCAGGCGGTCCTACAAGTAGTTAAACTACAGGGTTTTTTTTTTTGTAAAAATACAAACAGAGGTCAGTTTTTGAAAGGATGCCGCACTCCACCCTTAACTCCACTTACCGTATTTATTAATAGTTAATAAGCTGACTGCACACAACAATGTATCCATCTTGCTTAGCAAGCCAGGAGTGGTGAAACGCGCAAGGTATGGTTGGTTCTCAGGACGAGACTTTGATTTTATGCAGTCAATTTATTGACTATTAAAAAATACGGTAAGAGAAGCGTGGAGTGCGGCTGATAAATCCTTTTGTATTTTTGATGGAGGGTGGAAACGGCCTATAGTGGCCAGTACCTGGACGTCCATATATAAGAGGGAGACTCTTGAGGGAGCTATGGATTTGTGAATGTTTCTATTCTAAGTGGTCAGATTTTAGCTGAGAAGACACTCTACGATTTTTAGAGTAAGACTGTGTTAAGCATACAGAGTTAGTTTCAGTGCTGGCCGGCATGACCAGAAGCTTCCAGATAAATAAATCTACACTACAAACACAGCTGAACAGATTCTCCTTACTGCACAGCCTGCAAAGGGGATCTGTGACTAGAGGAAACGAGTCGGAAGTCTTCTCCTGTACATCTGGTGTCAACTCTACTAGACTGGAACTGTTATACTGGTACAGGGTTAGTGTCTACAGCAACCTCAGCCAGGGCTTGACAAATTTGCTTTGAATCTAGGAGCCAGCTAAAAAAGTTAGGAGTCAGGATGTTTTTTTAAGTGTAGCGTGGGTTGTCAGCGCCTGGGGCAAGTCAACTTTTGGGCAACAAGCTTCATGGCATGCAATTTGCCATGCGACGATCATGGCAAAACTGCACCATGTTTTAGGTGCCATTAAAAATAATGCTACCTGAACCTGTGTTTTGCGATCACAGCGATTCTGCGATTTCAAAATGCCCAAGTGTGAATGGAGCCGCCCTGGCTCACACATATGCCATTCTGGATGTGCTTTCAAACTCACAGATTCACATGACAGGCTAGATATTATGTATTCCTATTGAGGAGGTTCACACAGATGCGATCCACACGCATTGTGCTTTGAGTGCCGTTACAAAAAGGGTCATGTGCGAGTGTGTATTGGTGCGTTCTGAACTCGCAAGTGATACAGAGTGACATGCGGAGATAAGTGTTCATGTAGGATTGCTATTGCCAGGAGTTTTCGATTTGAAGTCAATAGGAAGCGTTTTTGCCATGAAATTAATGGGAGGCATTTTTTTGCATTGAAGTCAATGGGAGGCATTTTGCATTGAAGTCAAAGGGAGGCATTTTTTGCATTGAAGTGAGTGGGAGGCATTTTTGCATTTAAGTCAATGGGATGCATTTTTGCATTGAAGTCAATGGGAGGCATTTTTGCATTGAAGTCAGTGGGAGGCATTTTTGAATTGAAGTCAATGGGAGGCAATTTTGCATTGAAATCAATAGGAGGCAATTTTGTATTGTAGTCAATGGGAGGCGTTTTTGCATTGTAGTCAATGGGATGCACTTTTGCATTGAAGTCAATGGGAGGCGTTTTTGCATTGTATTCAATGGGATGCAATTTTGCATTGAAGTCAATGGGAGGTGTTTTTGCATTGTAGTCAATGGAATGCAATTTTGCATTGCAGTCAATGGGAAGCTATTTTGCATTAAAGTCAATTGAGGGACTGTTTTAACCCAGGCACCAGGACAAATTGTAGTCGCCATAGCAATCTGGAGCCTAGGATTTGTTAAGCCCTGTCCTCACCAATCCTCACAAATAGAGTCCTGAGTTTGTGTTACCTCTACATGCACACAGATTTGCTATGTTTAGTATCCCTCAACAGCCCCCTAGCGTGGCCCCCTTCTACCTTGGGCCACCCTAGCAGCCAAGTAGACTGCTATGGCTATTGTTAGAGGATTGCAATGAGAGTGGGGACTTAAGAAGTGTTTCATAGACAGCTGCAGCAGGTCAGAAAGAGCCTCATTTTCTGGTGTGCAGGCATTCAGCATCATCTAGCCCCTTCCTCCCCAGCCTTACCTTCCCTGGCCTGCCCTTTTTATTCATTAGATTTTAGTTCTTGAAATCATGGAGGCACTGCATCACATGTAATCATTACTTAGGATGGTCTGGATGCACACACAGCCTAGCGAGTAACACCCACGCCTTCAGACCATCCATCTACATCCATTTCTTTATTTGCATAACTCCTCTCAACCAGCCAGCTTACTGTTTGCATCAGGGGCGAAGGCTGTTGAAAAGAGTACTGAGACAGAGTTCTTTGATGTTTTTCAGGAAGCTGTGTATAGCATCCTTCCGGTTTCTCCCACCAGCCATGATCTGCCTGCATTGCATAGAGAATTACAGAGACCCAGTGATAACATCACTGGGTTTAAATAAGGTATGTATTATAAACAGGTTTTATTTAGAAATGACATTAGAATGTTGATGAGACAAAAAAGAGAAACCAGGGAAGGCAAATATT